TTTAATTCATTCATTGTATGTTCCGCACACTTTGGTTGGCTTTTTATTGAAAATTGAAAACGAAATCGATCTGAGCACTAAAACACTTGCAATATAAATACACACACGAGCACGTACACGAACATATTTGGCATGTTGCATAAATCAGTCAAGTTGAATTTGTATGAATATGAGCACACAAACAAGTTGCCAACATGATTTCATCGTTACTCGAATATATTAAAAATGCAATGACACATCATCCATATTTTTCGCTGCTTCATATTTCTTTAAAACAATTTGTTTGTGTGTTGTTGTTGTTGTTTCTTAAATGCAACTCACTTTCGCTTGTTTTATTATTATTTCATGTCGTTTATATGTTCAGTTTATTACTCTTTTGTGTATTTTTCGGTATGCTTCTCTATCATCTGCCCGAATATATCAGAAGTTTTCGAAGCGAAAAAATATTTCTAAAAATACCAACGGTGTATAGTTGTTGTGTATATCATTTTCAATAGTTACTTCGTTTTTACGATAAACTGACGTACGACTACTATACGGCAAACATCTATTTCTCAGTCTTTGCTTCTTATGTGTTACGTTTTTTGTTTTGTTGCCTTTTAGATCAAACGGCAAACGCTATGTCTCTTTCACTCTTTCAGAAGATATCCTTCGAAAAATGCAAAGCATATAAGATCAGTGATAAAATGGAACGTCCGCAGCGTTAATGTCGTAGGTTTGCGGTACGTGTTCTTTGGCTGTCTTTAGTTCGATCAAAAATAATCTGGCTGCCGAAATATTTTTAAGCAACGTTTGCGGCTCTAGCTCATTGCGTTTTTCATTCGAATTCACGTCAGAAAGGAAAAATTTCTTCTGGAAATTACAGTTTAGTACGATCGAATCGCGACAACTTCTTCACACTTTTTTTGACTCCGATCCTATTGAAACGAAATTAATTAGCAATAGAAATTGATTTTTTAAACTCTAACAATTCGCGTTCTGTTCGGTTTCTCATAAATTTCGATAAATTAAAAAATTCAAAACGGAAATTTTGTATTTAAAAAAAATAGTCATTTTTCATTTAAATTTTTTAAAATAAGATAATAAGGACAAAGAGTTGTGCAAAATGGCTGATGTTGAAGTTAGACGAGACAGTCTGATAACTGAAACGTCCACAAAGAAAACGCGTAAAGTTAAAAAAACCAAGCGTCGTGAGTCGGCCGACCAAGCTTCCGAAATTACAATTACTGAAATTGACCAAACAACAGCCGAAAATACTGGCGAACAAGATGAAGAGGGGTATGTGAATGAACTGGAATCTTCTTGATTTGTTTGTTGTCTCTTATACAAATACCAATACACGCAGTTTCTGTTGACATTCGTACCAATATGCAATAGGTAATTGCACTAGGTCAGCTAATTGCTTATTATTTTCCATTTACATTTTGTTTTACATATTGTGAGTTGATTGACAAGCTAAAGCAAATAAGCTTTAATATCAAATAAGTGGCGCCTAGTGCAATATCAATGCGATGTTATCGGACAGAAATGGTGCAAATGTGTTGGCAATATGACTGATCAGTTCATTTCACATATCCCTTCTTAATACAAAAGGTACATATATATACAAAGTTTATTGTTTTTCACAAATGTTTCATCGTATTTATGTTTGTTATTAATTTTATTTATGTACTCAAAGCTTGAAAAGTGAAAAATAATTGAAATACCGTTTCAAAATGTCTTGAATAGTCACAGACAAGAAAGTATCAAAATATTCATTAGTTACATCATCATATCAATTTTAGAAGTTTAATATTGATACGCGCCTGTGTGGTTGGTGTCTAACGCTGCTATGTTTAATGATAAATGTGACAAAAGTACAGTAAATTACAACTTAAGTGGTACGAATAAATGATTCTTTCCTTAATGTAAGCGAATGTAAGGGAATATTATTATATAATAAGAAGCTGTAAAAATCTGTGATCGAATATGTATTTATCAATCTCGAAGCTTATAGAAACCTTCTGGTTATTCGAGAGTTCATATAGTTCAGATTTTACTGTAACTCATTTTATTTAGTAAAATGAGTAGACCACACACTTTAAAGTGTAGACTAAAATAGAAGCCTTTTCATTTTTTTGTATATTTTTTTTTCATTCATTTATGTAGAAGGAATTTATGGCAACGTTTTCAGATGAAATTCTAGAAACATCATAATCTTTTGTTTTTGAAATATACCGATTTTATTTTTTTCTTATCACAGAATCTTATTTGTTGCTAATATAGCCCACGTTTATGGGATAATAAGTATTTTTTATTTCATTCTACGTGGTTTTGTGATATTTTGATGCATTATTTTATTATTTTTTGTGGATTTTTCCGCCTTTGAATGTCCGAAGAAGCTCGAGTATTCAAGAATAGAATTCCAATCGAGATCGGTCAACAATACTAACGTTTGTTGAATTGTTATTAACGGTTCTTCAAGAAGAAAGGATTAAGTCAGAAACAGGAAAATCATAAAAATGAAGCTGAACCATCACGGCACCAAATGACTGGCACAATACCCGTTTCTTATGAGTCGTGTTTTCCTTCGGACGTTCAGCAATATTCCATTCAATTCATTCAGTTTATTTATATGTTTTCCGATGTATATCGATTTGCCCTCCAAAATCATGCCTTCAAATTTTTGACTTGAGACGCATGGCAACTATTGGGTGCGTGGACCAACTCTTATCGTTTTTGTAGTGAAAATAAATTACTATTATTTTAGGCAGTTAATGATGTTCCTATCAAAAGAAGAATTCAGCCTAGAGCGGTCAATTTTTCATTGAGTCATTTCTAGGGATAATAAATTCGTCTATAGCTGGCTAAGTTGATTGGTCGTCGGAATGCCCATATGATTATAATCGTCTTATTTTGTTTGAAACAATCAAATATGCCAAAACTTCCCAAATTAGACGTCCACACGGACGGGTAAAGTTGTTCTATGAAGAAGACATCAATTTTGTGAGTCTGAGTCATATTCACTTCTTTTTCATTGATGTAAAAAATCATTGTTTAATTTTAACACATCCAATTCTAGTTCGTGTCTCCCCTAGGCACTCTAGCCTAAAGATGGAATTTATGAGTTGAATCAATATAACTTATAGGGAAAAGTAGGCAAAGCGTGGAGAATTTTTTTTATTTGTACAATGTAGATACGTTTATTGGCGTAATAAAAATACGTCGAATATGTATTTTTACAGAGCATTCAAATTCTTGATTGCATTCCTCTCAAAATGTTTGACGATTCAAATGAAACGATTTGGCGTGAAATTCGAATAAAATGGTATTTGCACTTTTTCCCATACCATTTCGTTCAATAAAGCGCAAAAATGAGGAAAAATATGCACATTAATACGAGTTCATAAACAGTGCTTTTTTCCGAACACATATTTTGTCGTACATTTGTTTACTTTCCCACCCAATTGAAAAATCAGAGATGAAACAGAAAATGAAAAAAAAAACTCAAGAAAAAATTGAAACGTTAACTATTTTTCTAAGAATTTTTTCCTTGGAAATACGTAATTTCTTTCAATGGCGAATCTTTTAAAGAAAATAAAATGTCAAATAAACAGTGCCAGTATGTAAAAAATGTTGGTCTTTAGTCAGCCGGCAAATTTGGCACGATTTGGTTAGACGATTATAGTCAACTTTTTAGTTGAAAATTTGTACGAAAACCAATGTAGTCTAATCAACTTAGCCAGCTATATTCGAAATTATTCATTTATTCTTAATGAGAAGTACGTCACTTTTTTGGACACGGGTATTAAGTAAACATACTTGGTAAACTCAATAAAAATAGCTATTATTTTAAATTGCTCAGTTTGTAGCTGTTTAGATGTCCTTTCGAAAAGAAATAATATTCGATTGACGTTGTAAAGAGCTACGAACTTAGTGTGTTTGTTTATAGTAAAACAATCTGCCAAATATCTGTGTATTTTCAAGAATTTTTAGACGAATGTCGATATGACCTCGAGTTCAAATCATAAAATTTTCTTTCAAAATCTTCACATTCTGCGGAAATATTTTCTAAATTCCACATCGATACATTAAGCTTTATTTCAAAGTACATTGATAGTGTATTTTGATCAACCGAATTCGAAATGGCATACATCAATGCGACACATTGAATGATGTTTGCATCATTTTATTCGCATCGCTAACGCTGTCGTTTTGGCTTTCGGATCTGGCGCATTGACATTAGTACATATGAAGAAAGCACATCGTGCGCTATCACATCCGAACTTCAGCACAACGACAGCGTTAGCAATGCGGCGCATAAAATGATGCAAGCATCATTCAATGCGTCGCATTAATGTATGCTATTCCGAATGGTTTATTTTGATATGGAATAAACGTCAAAAATATTTTTCGTGTCACATTTTTTTAACTTTTTTATCAATTTTACATCGTCCAGAAATCTAAAGCCTATGAATGACACTTTACATTTCCGAACATCGACTGTACTACATTTTTGTAAAACATTACCTCATTCTTTTTTTTTCGTTCATTCAATTGTCAATGTTTATACTACGCACATTTCGGTTCTATTATTGAGTGTTGACGTTAAATAAAAAAAAATATGTGAGAAAATCGTGGTTGTGTTTTGAGAATTTTTGTCATGGTCTGGAAAAAATGGAAACTTTCATGTAAAAGAAACGGTGCCCATCACTAATCGAAATAAAAAAATTGCTCGTCTCAATTGATCAGATTATTCACTTTGATGTAATCGAATTGATTGTAACTTACTGTAATCTGTAAAATAATTTAAAATTAATTACATTTTACAAACCATATCTCACATCTAAAATACAAACAAATTACAAAATTCATCAAAGACACATTTGGTTGAGATATTATTTCTTCATTTTATGTGAAACTTGAAAAAAGCAACGTTTTGAAATGAATTTAACTTGACTATCATATAAATATACGATTTTTTTTAATAATCAAATGTGCTAATTGTTGTTGTTCTTTAGTTAATTTTCAGTGGGGAATATACGAAAGCAATGAACCAGGATTGGCACGCTTCACACTTTTCCTGTTGGAATTGTGACGAGAGTTTGACTGGACAACGATATGTTCTGAGGGATGAAAACCCATACTGTATCAAATGTTATGAAAATGTGTTTGCTAACACTTGCGATGAATGCAACAAGATCATTGGAATCGATTCCAAGGTAGTTAAATATTACTTGAACACACATAACACGTTTGAGAATCATTTACAGCTTACATTATTTATAACATTCATAAAACAAATTAGCTATCATATTTACCTAATTGAATAAAAAAATACAGCCATCTCCCATAAGTCAAAACAATAAACAGCTCACACATTTCTACTAACCCAAACTTTATATGTTTGACCAACAATAATAATCATAGAAACGGCCATATACTAAAAAGTGAGCGTCGCTTACTACTACGGTATTGTAAGCCGAGAAACAGTTAAGCATATAATATTCAAGAAATATCCGGTCACGTTCAGATTTGGTGTTGGATGTATTTATGAGATTTGCATTTATAGTCCAAATTTGGATTAGATAAATATATAAAATACTTTAAATACAAAGAGTTGTCAACCCACAAAATAAAAATGGTCATTTGAATTAACTCATTTTAGCCTTTCAATTAATTTTGACATAGGATTTTTTTTATGAAACTATATGAACTCTTTTCAACTCTGTCTTTTTTCCCTTTAACACTGAATAGGACTTATCTTATAAAGAGAAGCACTGGCATGAAGCATGTTTTCTTTGCAATAAATGCCGTGTATCACTGGTTGATAAACAATTCGGCTCCAAAGCCGAAAAGATTTACTGCGGCAACTGCTATGACTCACAATTTGCATCACGTTGCGATGGATGTGGCGAAGTATTCCGTGCTGGTAAGTTTTATTCAATATATTTTTAAAAGGCAGAAAACTTTGTTGGAAACTATATTTGTGCTATATTCGTCTGGATTATTTTTGTGGAAAAAGTTTCATCAACGATAAATTTTGAACCTTTTTTCTCTTCATTGAACGCATTTGAACACGCCATCATTGTTTTTGTGTCCTTCAATCATAAGTTTTTGTAATTTAAATTTTATTCGTTTTCAATCAACTTCTTTCATCGATTCAATGGCGAATTTATGACATGTTATGTGAAGATTTTCTTTTCAAAAGAACACCACACAAATTAAGAATAAGAATAAATAAAATTACAAATTGACATATAAAACTGAGATAATCGGACAATAAATAACCAATTTCGACACACGAATGAACGAAAGAATAAAAAAAAATCACACAGAAATCACTTACATACATATATATAAAACGATGATGAAAAGAAAAAAAAAATACGCATGCACAAATACAAATACATATCGTAACATTGACTCTCAATATATGGAGACATACAAAGCATACAAAAGAAGAAAAATACAGACCCAGAAACGATTATGGTATACAAATTTTAATTTAGTAAGTTTAGTTTTCGGTTGACTGCTTTCGCGCATACTGCTGTAAACAGAGTTCTGATCCATTTAACCGGTTTACATCGTTTATACAAGAACAATTAATCACTCAAGATAAGATTTTCGTTACACAAAACAATAGTCCTCGTACCTTATCCACAAGAATATTAAATTTGTTGAATTGGATATATACTACAACTATACCAATAGTGTAACAAACATAGTGGTGACCTCATTAACTTCAAATACTCAGCAAAATTGTGATAAAAAAATATATAACAAAAACGCTCAATTCGAAAAAAAATCAATAAAAAAATCAGTGGTTGTGTTTAACAAAATCGACGTTACAATCAAGGCTATGTAGAACATTGCAAAGTTTAAGTGTCACAAAAAAAAAACTGTTTGAAACGAAAACTTTAAATCAAGACACCAAACATCTTTTTTAATATCAAATATTTAAATTTTGCGGGATTTATAATTCATTTTCAAAATGGCAACGTTATCGTCGGAATTTTCATCGCGATTAAATTTGCGAACGAAAACAGTTGGAGCCGATCGTGTACGCAAAGCAAAAGAAAATAATGAAGACATTGCTGTGTTGAGTATGTTTTTGCCCGGTTCAGCAGCTGTTGAAGAAAACCGTCGATTTCGATGTGCTCTTGGCATTGAATGTCGTTTGGGTGATTGGCGTTTGGCTACACCAGGTATTTTCCGTTTAATGTAAATAATGTAAACATCTGGAAATATCAACACGGCACGAAACACGTGGTAAAACCTATAAACTTCCATCAATTTGGCGCCGTTTTGTGGAAGTATACCTGACTCGTTCGCATGTTCGTCAAAAAAACGAAAAAAAAAAACGAACAAAATATTTAATCGGAATGGTCGAATTGAATGAATATTGTGGAAAAAAATCAATCGTAGACAAACACGCAACAATAAAACACTGAAGTTCTTTAAAAGAGACTTATCACACAGTTGATTATTATGAAGCAGGTACAAATTTAGAGGTACTGTTAAAGCAATGCGATAAATAATTTTGCAATCCAACTCTCTTAATGAACAATAAATAAAATTGGGATGATTAAGAAAATGAGAAAGCTCAAACTAATGAGCTTCGCCAATCTACCCTTCTTCAAACCGCCGCTTTTCCATCAATAGCGTCCCATTTATTACCACGTCATGATAAAATACTGTATTTTGTTTTGCACGCAATGTGGATACAAAAACAAGCAAATATTTCTTTCGATTTGGTTTCGATTTTGTATCATATAGCAAAAAATGATGTCATCTCTTCTGAGCTTCACAAATGTGCCGGTAATAAATATCTGCTTAGCCACCAAAAACTAATAAGTATGCCACGAAAAAAAGGAAAGAATGCTTGTATACAAAAACGTCACAGTTATGTATTACTCATTTTCAAGAAAAAACGCCAAGACAAACATGTACAACATTTATCATTGGTTTTGCAGCATGTTGGCAAATTATATGAAATGACTTCACCGCACATACCATTCAATGCCAATTTTTACTAATAACAATTAAATCTTAAATGCAACAATAGCAACAATATCAAATACATGCGTAACTGCGACGAAAGGGAGCAAACACATCAAAAAGACAGCAGCAGTCTGTTAATTAGTACTGCATTAATGCGAATAATTTAATAAATTATTATTGAAAGTTTAATTTGCAGTTGCCCTTCAAAATACTGAACAAAAAAAATACAACCAAAATGCACTAAATGAATAACATACACAGTCATTACACACAGTTTTGTATTTTTGACTCCTTATTAGGCCATGTAAAAAAAAAAGTTGAAAGAAAAATGGATTTATTTGGCCAAGATCAACTTACTCTCTGGGTTGATGATATACACGAAACCAATTGAAAGCGACCGCAACTAATACTATCGCGGTTAACGTAGTAGAAAATGACATTAATTTAATACAAATAGGGGACGGACGCTTAAATGACTTAACACTTAACAACATTTCTAAACAATGAACTCGTTGCTTCTAGTTCATTGTGCCACACAACAGCATAAATGGGGAAGGCGGGGAGGCACAGGGCACAATGATACACATTTTTTTTTTTTTTTGCCAAATATAAAAAGTAAAGTAAAAAGTTTGAATACCGTTTGATAGAAACACTTTCTGCGTCATTTGATTTTTTGGCTATTGAAAACAAAATGTACAATGTCGATTTGTTTGTGTTTGCTCGTCAATTAGATTTAAAAAAAATGATGATTTAATGTTACAGAATGGTTTATTCACATGTCGAAATAAACATAAAACATCCATTTGTTTTGGTATTTGAATAAAAAATTAACTAAAAATCATATTTGGCTTCCATATGGAACTACAAAGAAGTTAGGTAAACTAAAACTTATTTTGAGCAAAGGCAATATTGAGTTGAATAAATAGTGAAGAGTCACCCATTAATTGCAAAAACACCAATTTTGTAAAGCAATGGACGGTTTTTGGTTACAATTTTTTTTTTCTTGCGAATAATCTGGAGTAAATTACAATGTTCGTATTTTGTCAGTTAACAATGCCACACCTACGCATCCCACATCAAATGATTTCATCGTTTTGTACTGATTTTTTAAAATGCTTCGAAATCACACTGAAAATGCTATGAAATGAAGGAAATTTGCGTTGAATTCAAAAAAAAAAAAAAAAACCATTTTGGAATAAATCAATCAGAAATGGGAACAAGTGAACAAAAATATCTTATTAGTTTTATTTGAAGGGTAATAGCATTTACATTTTGAAATAAAATTCAAATAAATCAGATTGTTTGAGATTCTGAAAATATATTTGATTATTCAAGAAAAAAGTTGTTATTATTATAATTCATTGAGGGGGGGATGCCTACACAAAGCTCACACTCAATAAACCAAATTTCCATAAACGTTTGCGTTCAAAAGTGTAAGGTACATAGTTTTTTTTTGTTTACAGAAAAAATAACCTATATTCACATGTGCTATTATCAAAATTGAGCTAATGTCAGAGTTTTTTTTTTGGTACTCAATTCAACATGCAATATCTCTTAATTATCATTGCGGAGTGAGTCGATTTTTCAATTAGCTCAAACTACGAGTTATTTACACTACTTAACTCAGTACAATAATGGTAGCAAAAACGTTCAAGAAGGTTATAGGTTTGAAAAAAATAAATAAAATATTCATTCATTGTCATTGACACTATATAGCGTCCAGATATCATGAATTATTAAGCATGTTTGTATAATAAATTATTATCTCATAAATATCCAACAAAAATTAGACATAGTTTTGCTTCGAATTTCTACTAGTTTTGTCTTTTAATATATGTGTATATTTATTTTTTTCAGGCACAAAGAAAATGGAATATAAGACACGACAATGGCATGAAAAATGCTTCTCTTGCTGCGTGTGCAAAAACCCTATTGGAACGAAATCATTCATACCCAAAGAACAGGAAATCTATTGTGCCGGTTGTTATGAAGAAAAATATGCTACCAGATGCATCAAATGTAGTAAAGTACGAAAACTTTATTCTTTTTTCTGGTTTTATATTGAAATCAGGTTTGCTTGGTTAATGTCCTCTTTGAAGTATGGAGTCAAACGGCCAATTTTACTAAAGAACCGTATGAATTTGTTAGATGTATATCAGTCAAAGTCATATTTGACATAACAATGCTGTCATATATAGTCGTATGACCTAGGGAGTAGACACAATAACTAAGGAAACATAAAGCGTCCATATGACTTCCGAATATTTCGTATTGATAGAGATAGATACCGCAAGGATTGATAAAGATCCAAAGTTTTTGTGTCTCTCCTCCTAGCAAATGACAATAAAAAGTAGATCATTGCTCACACTGGTTGGTTAGACGTTATTCCTATTCCTAGTAGTCATTCAGCGTGAGCTCTGGTCGGAGAAAAATCATTTTTCTTAAAATAACATATAAAAAATAAGATAGTAAAACAGACAAACTTCTATATGAAATCCTTTTAGATTATCACTTCTGGAGGTGTAACATATAAAAATGATCCATGGCACCGTGAATGTTTCACATGCACACATTGCACAACTTCATTGGCTGGTCAACGTTTTACCAGTCGCGATGAAAAGCCCTATTGTGCTGATTGTACGTATAACTATACTGAAAAATGATGATATTCAATCCAACTAAAGATTCATATTTTTCCTTTAGGTTTCGGTGAACTGTTTGCCAAGAGATGTACATCTTGCACAAAACCAATTACTGGTAGGTCAAAGTTTTATGCATATAAAAGTGTGTTTTACTTTAAAAAAAAATTATGTTTTCTATGCGACAGGAATTGGTGGAACACGTTTTATTTCATTTGAAGATCGACACTGGCACAATGACTGCTTCATTTGTGCTAGCTGCAAGACATCGTTGGTTGGTCGAGGTTTCATAACTGACGAAGCTGATATAATTTGTCCCGAATGTGCCAAAGCAAAGCTCATGTAAATTGAACAGCTTTCAATTCTCTTTCGAAAGTACAAAGAGAATCGACGACCACGAATGGCACGCCAAGTACTAAACAAGAACAAAAAATACAACGCCAACTAACAAATATCAAGCGTTTAACATATAAAACCACTCAGTGTTATTATCAAAATATTGCTATATATGGCACGATGTTTATTTGTCCCAAAAACCCTAGCAACTCGTCGCTTAATCGATATTATAAATGCATTTATCCCAACAATTTTAAAGAAAATGCGCAACTGAACTACATATTAGCAGAATTAATCTACCAAAAAGACTATATTATAGCACGTTTTTAACTAACTAAAACTTACACTTTGATATGGAAAAAAATGAGTAAAATTTAAAAAAAAAAAAATGTTAACCAATTTTAGCTGCTTATTATTGAAAAGAAATCTAACCATTAGCATAGATTTGGTGTTTATGAAACGTAATTGCGATCCACAGTGTTTATCAAAATAGTATCATATCTAGTAGAACAGTGTTGATAAATTGATGCAGCTAATGAACACTGTTTAACTAATTAAAAGAAACAAAAGAATTTCGAACCGAATTCGATCATAAAGCAAGAATGTCAGAATCGAAATCAACATCCAAAGCATGCCTTTTAAGTCTATCTAATGCGGCGAAATAATGCAGAAATTCAAAACAGGAACACACTACTTTATTATTAATGTAATATTTCATACTGCGTTGAATAATACTTTCTAATTTGTTATTTGATTGTTCAATTGTCGCACCTTATTATACACATTTCTTCAACGCAAAAGAGTCGCTTGTATTTTAATTAAAATAATATAATAATAATTTTATTATTATTATTTAATATTTTTTTAAATATATTCTATTCAAATTTAATTGATGAATAAATAAATAGTTCTTTGAAGTAAAAAAAATGTTGTTCAAACTCTTTTTTTTTTGTAAATGTTTTTATTTTTGTAGACAACACTCAGTGATGGCTGAATAAAAACATACTTTCCTATCAAAGCAAAAAAAAAATGAAATTAAATATTATAATACAAGTAATTGAATGAATGGAAAAATATTCATTATAAATAATGAAAAATAAATGTTCAAATGATTTGCCCCTTGATACTTACTCATGATAGTTCGGCTCACTGTCAATGGTCCCCAAACTATTCATTATCCAACATCCATTCATCCATGGATTAATTTTAATAATAGTAGGACTGGAGGGAAAACATGCAGTAGATTTAATATAAAATCAACCAACAACGAATTAGATTTACCATTTTTGTGTTCTATGAGTTCATGTTTTTCAAAAGAGACTGTTTGTTGAATAAATTTTACCAACTGCTTCATTCATTCATTCACCAAATTCATGGGCTAGCGCTATCTGTGGTTTCGAAAAGTTGGTAAATGTAATGAAGCAGTTGGTAAAATTTATTCAAAAATTTTGAAAAACATGCCTCATAGATCTCGAAAATGGTAAATCTAATTCGTTGTTTTTCGATTAAATCTACCAAAAATGAATTAAATAATCACATTTTGTTCTCTGTGTGATATCCATGGATGTTAAATATAAAATCATAAAAAATAAAAGATCCGTTTAATTTGATTCCCGAGTGGAAAAAATGTGACTGAGTTACTCATTAGTCCACTATAATGGATGGATGCATTATACTTTTTCAGTCCAAAGTATGATTTTGGTCTAAAATACACTGAAAATGGCTAGGGCTAGGGCTAAGGTAGGTCATTCCAACCTCAGGCACTTCGAAGAGCATTTTTCCACATCAACGGTTGCATTTGAATCATCGGCTTTTGTTTGTTGGGTCTCAAATCATAAAAACTAGCGCAAATGACTTCGTTTTGATAGCGATAAAATTACTTTTTCAGTCCAAAATACACCGAAAATATATTATAGAAATTATAGATTTTCATTTCAAGTCATGTTTTTATTCCAGCTCATTCAATTTTGGAACTGTTGTCATTGAGCGAGTAATTTAGATGTAAATACTTCAACGATTATCGATAAATACAGCTGACAGCTCTAGCTATCGTATACGGTATTTGTTGTCTTTTTGAAAAAAAAAATCACTTTTTGACTTGACAAACAGCACCCACACTGCTATTGTGAAAAAAAATCTACTTTTAAATAATCATATCACCATTTCAAGATAGGAATCCAACAAAAGACATTTCTATTGATCCAATTTGTGTATGTTAATCGAATGACAGACAAGCCAAATAGAAAAAAAAAACAAAACAATACAATTTCTGTCTAGCTAAACTTCAATACTTTTGACTAGAAACAACACAACTAGCAACGCATTTTTTCAACATCATATCTTTATATTCGCATTATTTCGTGAATAACAGTGACACATTTTATACATTTTACTGAATTTTGTAAAATTTGAAGCTATTTCTGAAACTCGCTAACTTTTTTATAAAATTAAATAATTTCTTGTGGAATAAATTCTTTAGATATAGAGTGTGATGATAATCTCTTACATATCATAAATATATACAGCTGTATTTTACGATACGATAGACGACACAGCACACTAAATAATATGGCTGCATATTATGTGTGTATACAGTTGACTGAATATGCAGGATTATTTATAAAACATATTCGATTTATATTACGCATCACGATTAGGCCCTTTCCTATACCCACAATCAAGCACATTCTCCACTCGCTTTTTTATTGCGACGGATGTATTTATAATATATATATAGTTTATATTTCTGTTTTTATGTTATATAATATATATATACTTAGTCTTGAAACGCTGACATTTATCCACAAATATATGCATTTATCAAAATAGTAATAAGAGTATATAATATATATAAGAGTTTATCACGTTTTGGTGGCACATTTTGAGTGAAAATGTGTGCGAGTGTAGTAGTCGTTTTCAAAAAAATGCCACATCACTTTGTTTCGATATAAAGAATACATTTCATTAAAAGTAACTAATTTTTTGTTTTATTGCTTCAATTAATCGCTTGAATGGATTTGAGAGTAAAGCAGAGATAACGATGTTTCAATATGTAAAACACAAATTTTCAATTTTTTGTCTATTTATGTACTATCCACGGACATATAGCTTTCACTAAATTATCAAAATTGGGTTAAAACACCCCCAACCTCAAATTTTGTCTCCATATTTGGATTCCTCTCCATCAATCATATTTGGAGAGACCCCTTGTACCTAAAAATCGGGTCAAAAAGTGAAAAAATCCGACTTTTCCGAGTTTTTACCCCGATTTTCATCCCTAAAAGGTCAAATGGTACGTTCTTTCCACGAAAGTTGCGTCTACTATGCACTGAAATATCGCTTTGCCCCCTCCCCCAGGACCCCACAATTCGGGAGGCAGAAATTTGATTATCCGCCAATAATGGGCCGAACTAATGAAAATCTATGTGATAAGAAATTTAGTGACATGATATTACATATTTTAAAAAACAAATAAAACCATTTGAATAGAAAAATTCAATTTTTGTCTTGTTACCTGACTTTTTTATTTAAAAAAAAATCTGTCATTAATAAGTATTTTAAACGATTTGATACGAAATGGTGTATCGGCAAAAATACACGTCAAATAAAAAGTATAACCAAATAATTTAATATTGAATCCACAAACCGTTATGCAGCTTACATTGGTGATGTATTGAACGTGGTAATTTTACAAATTACATGCGATTAATTAAGAACATGGCGTAAAAGCAGATGTTATCGAAAACGCATTTGCATTCAGTCTACCAATAAGCCACCTTTCTCGCAACATGCATAAATTTGAAATTTCAACATTGAAAATGGTACCGAAAATGTGTTACATTTATTATCTTTGGATTACCGAATGTGAATGATTTATCGATGGTGAATAGATTCAAAGGAAATTTCAATTAAAATTAAATTTGGATTGGCGTAGACAACGCCTGTATTTATCTCTCTCTCTCTCTCAAATAGAGATGCTTCGGCACACGACGAATGATTCAACATGTTGAACAGCAAAATAACAACAATATTTCGCAAACACAACAGCATTACTCAACAAAAAATATATACTCCTTCGGTTGAATTTGCAACAAAAAAAATATAATTGTATCTAATCTAATTCACTAAAATGTGTTCTAACAAAAAAAAATAATAATACATATTTTGAAATTTAAATTTATTGTGGTTTTGGTGCGATGCCCAAACGATGTTTATCCATGTCGAACACGGTAACTACTCTCCTCATAAATGTGTCCCCAATAATCCATTCGGTTGAACCATGCGTTGTGGATAGTGACATAAACCCAGATAAACACAAATCGTCCTGTATTTATAATTGAAATTTAATTATCAATATACGACTTCCAATCATACAAAATTTACCTCAATTTGTAGTATATAGTCCTTTGCGGTTAGTGTAAACTCTTCACCCCCAATGATGAATGTTATTTTTGGTCTTGCATTAATATTTCTTGTCATTCGACAATCAATATGGTATTCGCCTGTGTTGTGATTTTTCTTTGCACCCAAAATTTCGTTAATTACATCAACTTCTGAGGCAGGCCCTGTGATCAGACTGGTACCGCTATCCATAATTGCTAAAAAAAAGTGCATGTTGTCTCATTTTTTTCATCAATGATTGCATAATTTGGAATAATACCTTGACAGCCACCGTCACAGGCGTAAAATCGAGAACCACTTGGTTTTTTAACAATGACGGATGACATTAAGAATTGCCAATATCCCAGTTTAGTTAACGGAACATAGAGAACTGGTTTATATTCACAGCCTCCAATATGCAATTCTCCACCAATGTAATAATTTCCGTAGGGTGATTTTTTTTCATCTGTATGGTGTAAAATAAAACAAAACATTCTGCGCTTTATAACGCCTTGTTGTTGCATTCGAACGAGTGGCGAAACTTTATCGGAAACAGATATTGATGGAAATCCCAATCCAAAAATTCCATCAAATTTAACATTTACAAATGTTGAACCAATTTCTTTAGTCACTTCACCGAAAATCTGATTTTTTATTTCCAAATTGCCAACCTAAAAATGATACGAACAAAAATTAATTAAAAATTACATGAATGCATCACATAAGGTGACTATGTCATTGCATAACATTTACTCTAACTGAATCGACCGAGGTGAAACCTTTGACTGCACCTGTGCCATAGGTTATATCGAATCGTTGGTTTGCCTTTCTAAAACTGTTGGATTTTGATGAATCATATCGTTTGTGCTTTTCTTAAAGTTTAAAAAAGAAGAAAAAACTGATAAAAAAAATACTTTTATGCTGAGCATTAATGAAATGAAGGAGTAGCCGTCGTTTTTCATTGAATTTAGTCATTGAATTACTCATTCAAACGACACTCAAATTAATCATTCATTTTCAATTGCATAATAAGAACTATGTAGTGTAATGGAATAAAACAGTTAACACACGTACGACATGCGATATTATGTTTGCTACATTTGGACGAAGGTACCCATATATCTGATGATCCCGTATCAAAAATCACAGAAAATTCCTGTGGCGGGTTACCGATCTGTATTGAGCCGGCATATGAAGCCTAAAAAATATTTTCTATTTAATTTTCGAGACTTTAATATACACTTTACAAATGAACTTACATCATTATAATTTTTTAAATAAATTGAACTTTCATCGCCGCCTGAAGCGTCGTCTATAATATTTGGTGGATTTACTTCATTCGATTGATCGTCAAAAGGAAATGAATATTTTGGTTTTGGATACTGAGATAATCCCATTTTAAGATCTTTTAGAAGCTTTTTCATCATTTTGGACGGATCCAGATAATCATCATAAAATGAACCAAATAAATCGTTACTAATTCTCTTGATATCGGAATAAAGTGTATTATCCAATAAGTTATAATGTTGGAAAATTGATCGACGTTTACGTTTTAAATTGTTTGAACTATCTTTGTATGGATTCAGTTTGGTCAGTGGTATTCTGAAAAATCATAAAAAAAATTAATTATTTTTTAAGTTCACAATTCTTCCTACAGAAAGTTCTAATTTTCTGGATTAATCTGATCAAAAATGTCCACACTTTATAAAGGTATCCGGACTATTTTCACTATCAATATCGCTGGTGTTTGAATGTACGAAATCTTTACTTATCACTAAAAGAGCTAGTTGTAAGATAATAACAATTCGTATCATTTTAACTACAACATTTGCGCACAGTCACATGAAATAAAACTAAAATGATACCTTTCTTGAGTGGCTTTATAAATAATTATTTTGTGTTTTGTTTCAATCGGCTGTATCAACTGTTTATTTTCAAATTAATTTGTTGATTGTTTTTTTTTGTTCGAAACTCTACCACGAACTACTTTGAATAATTGTTGGAAATTTAATTTGTTTGATGTGGTATTTTTGTATATTCTTTTAGGTTAATTATTAGCTCAATTGTAAACAAAAGAGATGAATGTAACAATTAAACAATTTGTATGAAAATGGCTATTGTTTCCAGTGTTTTGTTGACATGGATGTTTTGAAGAAAAAAAAAAACCGAATTCTCTAGCATACGCATTCTTTGAATTAGGTTGACTTATTGATTTAACAGGTTTTTAAGAATATCAAAGATCTTCGGAAAAAGATAAAAAGCTGCGTACATGCGGAGGGGAGAATCATTCAATAATTACTTTTCCATTATTCTGTAATTTCTATCTATTTTTTGCGATTATTTTTTTCACTCTTTTCATTCATCATTCACACTCACAACATTTATTTGAGTTGGAATTTTTGAGAGGTTTTGTTTTCGGATCTAGTTTTGAGAGGTAACGGGGGTATGATTGCCTTAGAAGTCTTCGAAGAATAAAAAATTAGACAGATTTCGACCAAACTTTGTATCTTACTCGATTAGTAAGTACCACTTTATTTTCTCTTCTGTTCCTCCCCTAGTTACACTCCTAGGCGTTGATCATCAATTCAAACTGGTATTGAATAAATAAAAATTGAAAGTGTGGAAAAATCTAATAATATCAATCGAAAATTACAATATGTCTTTTTAGACCGCAAAGAGTCTGATAATATTGTAATGGTTTTGTTGAAAAGATGTTTATATTAAAAAAAATGACGAATCATTGAGATCATTTTCCATATGAGTAGCAAATCAGCCTGTGTCATCGTTATTTCATTATCCTAATAATTATTCAATCAAAAAAAGTAAAATCAAATCTCATTTATATTGTTTAATACGGTTTAATGTGAAACATAGTAAATATTGTGATTCGTTTTATTTTGTTTCATAATAAATGACCTGGAAAATTGGTTGCTCATTTCACATTTTTGCAACAAATCTAAATCTTCATGAAATGAAAAACTGGAAAATTGCGCTCCAAAGATTTGCTTATCAAAAAAATCAATATGAACCGAAAAAAAAAATCACAATATGTTGATTCTGATGATAGTATAACGCGAAAAATGTAAGCAAAATACACATCAGCATTATTTTTCCATTTGATTTGTCAATTTCAAAAGTGTTGTATATGTGGCCAAATATGCATGTAACATCTATTGTGTTCCAATCTGAAGAATGTTTTTTTATTACGCCGAACAAATTGTGTTCTCTTTCAATTGCTTATAATTTAGAAAGTAAGAGAAGAACATATATGTGCGACGTGCGTATTATAAATAACCCGATAGATTAGATTTATTCCTCCATTGCTATTAACATATTAAATTAGCCAGACGTTTTTTTTCTGTTTTCTGTCATTGAAATTGTTGTGATATAAAAGATATACAAACAGTGCACTGCTTCACCAAAAACTGATGTTGGTACAGTAGTATTCTCTTTGTTCATCTTCATTCATTCCTAGATGCGCATATGACTTTTTAATCGAAAGTTACCATTTTATTACATGATAAAAATAAAAATTTACGCCATGCAAATATGTTTTTTTTTTTTGAAGTCATAATTTTTTTATTTTTTTTATCGTTTTTACCAAGCGGACCTGCCTATGAAGAGTCAAAATGAGATGTAAACTAAGTTTAGTTCTTTTGTATTGAAACGAAGATGGGAACATGAAAAACAAAGACAAATACAACAAAAATAACACCGCTACAGAGAGCTGTTCAAGAATGACGCGGAAAAAGACGTATGATTCTGCTGGCCAGATAGCGCCTGATGATAATAATTAGCTGGGAATAGCGGCTAGGCAATCACTTCTATTGTTTATAATATTACTACACTTCTATAGGATGTTAATAATCAATAAAAATAGTTTTTAAGTTATTGTCTAAAATCCTTTGAACATCGCTCTATTGCTACCACTCGAATCCATTTTGGGCAAATGCGGCAGCTTTGTTTGAATGAAATGTTCTTGTCGATGATGTCGCTTTGTAAAACACTGAAGTGTAACAAGCTCTTTGTAGCCGTCTTTCTCGTTTCAATGCTACCAAATAAATATATGTTTAACGAACTGATTAGAGATGGCGTGAACGATTGAGATTGGTATACAAAAAGTCATCAAAATTCATATACGGCATTACCCACTTGGTTTTTATGTAATTGATGCGAAAGCAAACAAATTGGTACAGTTGGAATTTTTCATTTGCTTCCATACGAAATGTACGTCTCTCAGAGTGGTTGTATGTTGAAATAATTTGACTACGACTGGCGTCACAGTGTCGCATTGAAACTGATGCAGATAAGCTGAGATGACCATTTTTGCACAACTCAATGAATATAAACTCATAACTGGTTACGAAAAAACAAAAGCACAACTCAAAGTAGAAAAAAAAATGTGCAAATGTTGATTCGTAATTGAAAAAAGAATAATGGGTCTATTTTGTTTTATTTGACATTCGTCTCTTTTTTTTTCGTATTCAACCAAATTCCTTTTTTCGCATTCGCTGCGGATAACATTTGATTACGTTCCGATTCATTATCCATTTCAATTTAGCGAACTTTTATCCATATAAATGCATGAAGTAACACCAAAATGTATCAACATATAATAAATTCAATTGCGTTTTTATGTATCTATTCAAAGTTGCCGTACGTTGGGGGGCATGAATTAATTGTATTTACAATAAAGAAGAAACGGAATGTTAGACGAGAAAAGCTTCAAAAGCTGATAAGGCAAAGTCGTCTTAATAATATCACAGCTAAATATTAGGAGGATGTTTGACTAATAGCAGCAAAGTGACAGCAATGGTCTCAGCAAAGACTGAACATATAACCATATAGGAAAACATACTGCATCTTAACTACAGAGAACATACGATGAAAAGAAAAGTGTGCACATGTGAGATTTGAACAACACGTGTGAAATACGGAATATGGCCTTCATTTCTCATTTTTCTTTCCCCTATGTCGTGCTTGTTGTTCTTCGTTTTTGTGCACTTCATGAACTTATATTCATTTTCTTTCTTCTTTTTTCCCTCTTTCACATTTTTTTCCATTTATTTTCCTTGCCTGTGGCTTTTATATATGTTTCTAGACGTTTTGGTATCGCATTCAGATAATAATACTTCTTACGACTTGCTCGTACTATCGAGTGGAGAAATATAACTGAATTCTATTTGCTATACAATGTCTACACTTTTGGGTCCTGATAGCTAAATAGTAACAAGGCCACAATAAGAAATCAAGTAAATAAAAAAGTTATTTAGAAATATTCTTAAAAAATCTAAAATCTATTGCTTCGGTTATACCTAGTTGTACAGTATATAATTTAGACAAGCGCAATTTTGGCAGATACTACAACATCTACGCAAAACAGGCTTACTACAACAATTTAAATATTAAGTCTTTTATTTTTGCTATATTTTTACGTTGAAGAAAGCCTGTTTTACACAGATGGCGTTTTTCTGTAAGATATGTGACGTCACAATTTCAAAATTAATGTGCAATCTCGCTAATAATCAAAAAGTACCACAACTGCCACATGAATTTCAATTTAATTCTCAACTGCCCGACTATGCTATAGAAATTGCAATCTTGTATAATGTGTGATTTTTTTTATTATAAAATGTGATATAGTCTTTAGCGATCTATGCATTGTTTCTTGTTAAAAAAAATTCATCTATTGTAGTTTTCACAATCTAAAAAAAAAATCAATGACACACTGTATGTCAAAGTAAGAATTGACCTAAAAATTCAATTGCAAAAAGTTGCATAAATCGACATACATGTTATCGACAATGATACATGCCCTTCCAAACATTGCTCATTATGAATCAAATTAAGACAGTCAGTTTTTGGCGTTAATACAACAAATAAATTACATATATAACAAAAACTCCGTGTTCCACTTTTATGGACCCAACTTACAAGTCGACTTTTTATTCAGACCCAATCAATTGTGAAATTATTCGCACCAATGCACATGAACACACTAACTCCGTCTGTGTGTGTGTGTTACACTTAATTGCTTAGTGTGTATTGGTGTGAATTGCGATGGCTTACTAAGTAGCGATTTGGTATGATTCTAGTCTCAATCCGATTTGAAGATGAAGAAAATTTATATTTTTTTTTATTTGCGTGCTCAATTGCGAGAGAGTTTGGCGTGCAAAGCGGGGGCGACATTTTTTCATATTTGACATCAAATCATAAATGCGAAATTGTATATTTCTTCTTTGGAGTTGTCGAAATTTCAGATCCCGAATCGTTTATACATATGTATGTTATATGGATGCTACGGCGCTGTTAGATGGGACATTTTATTTTCATTTGCAAGGTTTTTTCATATATTAATGTCAGTAATCTTACTCATTATCTTGGTTGCTTGTTCACATCGCGTAACCCAGTATTTATAATATTATCCCATTTGATTCCATTCTATTTCTGAAAGATTAACTGCATTCTTTTCGTATAATGAATGAATTTATCAAGGATCTTGTGTGAGGCGATGTATTTATTCTAAACAAATACTAGTGACAGAAACGTTTCACTAAAGCTTTTATATTACATTGAGTTTTAATGGCAAATGAAAAGAGAAAAATCTTCAGAAACTCTGATATTTTTTGTATTGTTGCACATATCCCAATCGAATCCGTCTCAGTAGTCATACATATAGTTTTATTTGCAACGCAAAATGGGCTAACATTTATAAAGCTTATCACTACTCGTTTGAAAGTGAGGTCCTAGTAGGGTGTTATAGAAACATCCAAAGAATTCAAGTTTGGTTTTAATTTGACTTTATTCCGTCCATTCTTGTTTAAATCCAAATTCATATATTACAGGAAAAAATTAGTCAGGCGGACTCATTAAAAAACCTGATACATTATAATAAACGGTAAAATAATCTTTGTAATTTTTTTGCTGCCGAGTTATTTGTTCATCCCTAAATACACTTGTTTTTAAATTATTCGATTGCGATGAATCCACGATTTTCTCCAAATCTTGCACCCACTCACCGATGTCCTCAAGACCTTGATCAAATAAAAAAATATCTATTTATCTCATATTCAGTCACTTTAGATAGCATCAAATACAAACAATATTTACCATTTCGAGGGCAATTGAATATATCCGTCAAGATATCATATAAATTAAAACCACCGCCCCACCAAAAAACGTAGTATATACCAAAAAAACGTATTATACGTTCCGAAGAGTATTTTCCTTCAGTTAGTCCGACACATTGATTGATCTAGGAAAATATTACCGTTAAATATTGTTCCAAAATTTTAATATTTAGAGTTTTCATTTACCCCAACAATTTTGATCAGGGGAGCCCCAAAAAACGAATGCATTTGAGTGTAATCTGATTTTTACAGTTACTTTTTATTATTTTGTCGCAATAGAAATCAGTTCTCACTAAGAGAAATTATTCAAAAGTATAGAAAATATCAGAAAAATAGAAAAGTAAAAAAGCATGTACTTACGAAAGTCCGTTAACACACAAGAATTTAATTGGATCTCCTTCGTAGTGGAAATAATCGATGTTAGATGGGCCACATTCTCTATCATATGATGTGCAACAAGGGTTCAAAAAGTCGCCAATAACATGGCACCCATTAGAAGATAGTACAAAAATGATTGTACACAAGAAAATGATCATCTTAACGTCGTAGCGCTATTAATTGGATCTATATCAAAATGGAATTTGTGGTTAAATTACAAAACATTTCTTTTTATTCAAAACTTGAGAATGTTGAATGTTCAAACCATACATTAAGTCTAGCTAGCTATTTATATCAGACGCTTCGCTCAGACGCTGTGAATACTGGATATAACCAGAGCTGGTATTTTCAAACTGGTAGTGCGCACACACATTTACTTGATGTGATAACAACATCCAGGATCTGAGCGGCTTTTATACTATAATTTGGTCAGTAAAAATGAGGTGATCGTCATAAAAGTATTTTGGATAGAATTCCAGAATATTTCTTTATAACGTAAGAAATTTCGTACAAATATTTTCTACTTTACCAAGTCGTAACAGAAACGGAACGAAAAAAGTACACATGTGATGTGGACGTGAAAAGTTTTCATATGGCACATTTTCATAATTCAAAATGTTCATTTACATTGTGCTAATTTGTCTCGAATATTCTTTATAATGAAGCCATTTCACGTTAATCCACGTTTAAACTAGATGACATTTAAAAGGTCATATTCATGGAAACAAATGTGAACAGTTGTTATATATTAAAACATTTATCAGAAGAACATAAGAAGAGTTTTTCGAGAGTAAAATATTTTCGTCATGCATTGATTATGCGCCAATGAAAACGTGTAATTTAGAGATAATTTGTGAATTGTATATTTGAATGGGGTAGAATAAAAACTACTTCTCGAAAAATTGCTATTTTAAAACGAAACCTAAAAAAAATTTCAATAAAAAGTGAATCAATTTTTTTTTGTCCAATTGAAGTGAATCAAGAAAATTTTGTTCAATAAAAGTGAACCAAAAAAAAAATTTCACTCGGTTTTTTCAGTGTAAAATACACTAAAATGAATTTTTTTTTTGGGTTCACTTTTATTGAACAATTTTTTTTTGGTTCACTTCAATTGGACGAAAAAAAATTGATTCACTTTTAATCGAAAGTTTTTTTTAGGTTTCGTGTTTAAACATTTTTCGAGAAGTAGTTTTTATTCTACCCCATTCATTTATATTTCTACAATTGATGAGAACAATTAGCCAGATATGCAAGCTCGATATGAATGATCAAGATACAAAAATTATTCGCAAAAAATAAAAAAAGTTAAAATTGGCAATTGAGTTACACTTTATTGTTTGAATATTTGGTATACTTATCATTTATTTGATGATTACACTTAACAATCATTTTGTATGACGATCGAAAGATTCACAAATTATGTGAAATAAAATCAAAAGTTTAAATAATATTTTGTTTAAAATTACGGTGAAATGTGGAATTTTGGCAGAGACATTTTTAGAAATGGATCGATTGAGAACTTACATATTTTTACTCCTTAAACCGACAACTCTAAATAGCTCCTTTATTTACTCTTCTTGAGTTCTGTGTATATAGAGAGTATATAATCTGTTGTGTATTAAATCAGAAAAAAATCAGATTTATGCAACTAAGGTAAATCTTAATGCGATGTGGTACAGATATTATTTTATCAATTTAACAACAAAAAATGCATAAAGTTTTTCTCATGATTACACCTTCGGTCACCAAATTTATACCTACGAAGATATATCGTTCAGAAACGATAATAGATCATTCTTCACCAACCCCAATTATCCTTTTAAGTCAGATTTTGATTTATGTTTCTGTGCAAAGACTTATGTTGCTAGCCATGTACTGGCGCTTCCTATATAATTTATATAAACATTTTGGACTCGTTAATGTTCTTCTTCTTCAAAAAATGTATGCATTCCAACCTATTTTTAAGTCTTCTTTTCAATCGAATAAAACAAATAAAAATTCAATAAGTAGATAAAATTTTCTTTATAAAGAGAATGTAAATAAAACAAGATGAATCAGAGAATGTCAAACAAGCTTTCGATAAAAAAAATAAGTAATTAATACTGGTGGACGCTCGTATTGTATACTTCCAACACAAATTTTTGTTGAAGAATCCACCTATCAAAGACATCGACGATTTTTTTACTAGTGCTGTGTTGACACAGTTCGAGCGAACTATATAGTTGTATTGCAAACGTAATAGTACAAAGGAATTTTTTTTCTGACTCCAATTCAGTGCATGCGTGTGTATTACACGAGCAACTACGATTGACAAGATGTCAAGTGCAGAATATGCAATACATACGGACACACAAAGTCGGAGTTAGTGTGCTCCTGTGTATTCGTCATATAGTTTACCACTGGTGAATCACGAGAGCTATCATACAGATTCGCTTTGTAGAATTTTCTGTTTCAGAAAATCCGTAATAGAGGTCTCATGCATAGATCTTCAATTAAAAAAAATCTCCGATAATAGCGTCAACCGACGAGATTCGCGAAGCCATTGTTTCAAATGAAATTTAAATTAAAGCTTTCATGGTTCTAAGGTTATGCCAGAAATCAAATTGTGAAAATTTCCGCGAAACCGAACGCCCCTTTATCGAACTCAGAACGAGGTTTGACTAAAACTGGTAATTCTCAAAAAGTGTATCCAGGCCCACAGGCTCCCTATGTCTTAACATTGCAATGATATTTTAAGGACAGAATATGGCCCCAGGTGGTGTATAGTCAACTTTTCCTTCATTTGATACTTGTTTTAGTTAAATGAGTGCAAAATAATGCATACACAAAGCAAACAATAGATGGCGCCTCTGTAAAGACATCGTTGCCTTAGATATGGGGCTGGTGTATCAGTCTGCCCCCAATTCCCTTATAATTAATTAACTATGTAAATAACATAAATTATAATTGGGCATTGGTTCTTTTTTTTGATATTCAAAATAGGTTTGATAAGTTCGAATGCAATGAAACGTTATAATTTAAAAAAAAATAAAAGTTTCAATGAACAATAATACCTTTTTTGATTTAACATTGAAAGTCGATGGCACAGTGAAAGAAAACCAATTCAATTTTTTTATATTATTCGATAGGTTGTAGACATGTATGTGTGTATATAATAAGCCGGGTGTGAACCATGCCTAAAAAGGCAAAGAAATTCATTCGCCCAGAAAATTACATTTTTCCCCGAGATAAAATAAAATAAAGAACGAAAGAAGCAGTAAATGGCATCAGAAGAAGTGTGAACAAATTTAAGGTAACTAGATGTTTGAGAAATATTTGCTAACGTTAACGTTTGCTGTATATTTTCATGTATATACTTTATCTTCGTCTATTTTCATGTGATTTTTACGAATGAGTGAATTAATCTCGTCAAATCAAATACTCTTCTTACCGAATGCGAAATTCCTCGAGATTTGTTGAGTTTTGTGAATCTTTTGAGATTTCATTCAGATGAAATATTCAGTTTCCGTTTTCAATATTCACTTGTTTATTCCACACAGCTGGAAAATATGTCGCTTGCATTGATTAACATTTATAACTTAATGTAATCTCAGCGTTTTAAAAATTGAATCATAACTGGTGGTATAAATATTGATGCTTTTCGATTTTTTTCATCACTTTCAATCGTTATTACAAACCGGTTCAAAACTAATTATTCTATGCTAGCAAAATTCTTTGTTTTAAAATAATTTGAAGCAGCATCAACAAATGCTCATAGTTAAATTAAAATTATTTGCTGTGAATGACAAATTAATCTCTAAATGGTTTGTAAATCGTACGTATAAAATATTCGAAAACACTCAATTTACTTTATCATATCTTATGTGCTTTGCAAATACAAAGTACTGAATATTTTAATGTCTCTTTATCATATATGATATCTAGATGTGCCTTTGTGCAAATGACTTATATCGACTATGCTGATTCAATTGATTTGAATTTTTTCGAAATATTTCCAATTTACCCGCAATCGATTCATTTTAATGTCGCAAATCGAAATAGTTTGTCTGAAGATTCACTGGGATTGGTGTCTCTCCTCCAGATATCATCATTAATTAAGCAACTAAATATAATCTTTATGTGTAATTTTTTTTATCTAAAAAAGGCTTTCTATCCAACTCAATACTTTTGGAAGTCGCATTTTTTTGCTCATTCGGAAATACAATGCGTTTTACTTTTCCATTAAAGCTCCAAAAAAAATGCAGATATTCATCGGCAAATCTGTTTATTCTTTATGTAACATTGATTTTCCGAATTCGGTGCAAACGTTGAAAACTTTGGACAAACGAGATAACGATGTTTCCCCATTTCGTAAGACGTTTCTCATTCCATTTCCTTTTAAATTTATTCTCGTTCATTTCTCTTTTGCCACCATTCTTAATTTCATGGAGCAAGAAACAGCCCATTGCAATCATACCACGTGCACGTAGTCGCGCTTGGCATTTCTCATTTTATCTTCCAGTTCTAACCGAACCGACAGCATCTTGTACGTAATATGTATTAAAATTGTATTATTACATTTTTCAAATAAAAGAACATTCAATGTAGTGAACAACATTAAGCAATCAACACAAGTGGAACAAATAAAAGTAGAATTATAATATTTAAATTGAAAATTGTTATCGCATATTTTTAACTTCAAAACATAATGCTAAATGGACACAGACTAAAAAAAATGAACCATTCCGAAAGGCATAGCTAACTTTAATGCAAAAGTTTCAAAATTTAAAATGGTTCATTGAAATATTATGGCCCCCCATATTTGACAAACAGCACATTTTTCAGGTTCAAGTTTCTTGAAATTTGAGGATATTCAGAAGAAATCGACTATGAATTTCAATATATGACGGATTAATTCTGGGATTTGTGCAGAAA